CAATAAAATGCCATTGACCGACCAACCTTAGTATGTGTCCCACTTGAGTTACTGCTTTGTTCTATCCGCAATTAATAACTAAACTTATATCATTTCATTACTCACTTGTGGACAAATAGTTCAGATTTATCGTTCGAGTGGAACTTTGTACAAATACCGAAATTACTGATTGACTGATGAGCTTAATTAAGTTAGAAAATTATAGACTTATGCATATAGCAGGATTGCGGAGAACCTAACGGGTTACCGGGGCTTCGGCTAGACGTGCAGGAGAAGGCACGAGGTGGTTTTTAGTCAGTAAGTGTCTGACAGTCTGACACTCCCTCCCGCCTCACCCAGGCGGGAGCAGTCATTCGATGATTTTCCCCCCTTAAAAAAAATCATATTGTAGGATAGATTATTCATTTATATACAGCTATTATTTAAGTAAACGTCTTTTCAGAAATCCAATAAAACATTATTGTTTCATATTAATGATGACGGGAAAAAACATATTTTTTTATACGAAAAAAGGAAACAAGATTGTGACGCCTGTTACACTACCAGCCACGCAACTGATATACCTTTTATCTAATTAAAGGAGATTATACTAAACCGTGGGAATTAGATAAAATCACGCCTTTTATCCCCGAAGGGGTAGACATAGGTGCATATTACGGCACTTAATTCCACTGTACAATGTAACACCCACTTTTCACTTTTTATGTTATAGGTCCCACATAATATACAGAGCATAATTCCAAAGTTCGTGCTACTACTGAGAATTTAAATAAAAAACCAGTATTACATTGGCCGTCCCGAGAATAGATGCCGAAACCCCGTGCCTGGCAGTCGCGCTTGCGACCACTCGGCCAACGAGGCAGACGTGTAAATCAATAAACATACAAATAGAATATTATATCGTAAAACAATACCTACAGAAACCACGTCACGTCCAGATAGACAAAACAACAACGAAAACAATAGCTAAAGTAAACAATAATTATACCATCTATTGTACTATAGTTTCTATACAAAAAATCTTGGCATCTACCTCTAAACGAACCTATTATAACATTTCTATTCACATGCCAGCCCTATACAAATACTCCTTGAAGATGATCCAATTTATTTAACAATACAACCATTTTGTTCTCATGTTCCTTATAATTCGACTCCAGTTTTATTATCCTGAAAATTGTCAATAAATAGAACTCTAAGCTTAAACGCTGTGACGTCATTAAGGAATTTGTCTCTTTTATGACTACCTCGTTGGCCGAGTGGTCGCAAGTGCGACTACCGGGCCTCGGGTTCGATTCCCGGGTCGGGCAAAGTATTACTGGGTGATTTCATTTCAAAAAAACTCTGTAGGTATTGTTACTAACCATTTATGAGCTCTGAGCTTGAAATAAAGATTACAATTCAAAAAATTAGCACAGAGTCTGGAATTGTGCCATAGGCTCACCCCCTATTACATGGGACTCATCTATACTAATATTATAAAGAGGAAAGATTTGTATTTTTGTATTTTTGTATGTTTGTAATGAATAAACGCAAAAACTACTGGACCGATTGCAATAATTTTTTCACCATTAGAAAGCTGCATTATTCAGAAGTAACATAGGCTATATAATATCACGCTAGGTCCTATAGTTGTGGAGCAGTAACCAAAAATGTTTTAAAAACGGGGGAAAAGTATCGTTTCTGAGGCCTTCCGTGGCGTGCGCTGAGCATATAGTTAAAGTTATACAAAAAT